ATATTTAATATTTATTTCAATTAATATTTTATATATTTTTAAAATAATAAAATGATATATAAATTAGAAACTAAATTAGCCATAAGTGTTTCCAAGCAAAGCCTAAGGTTATGATGTAGCCAGCTGCAATTTGATATAGATTTTTACAGTTTTTATAGTTTTGAGATTACAATTTCATAGGTGGGGTTATTATTATATTTTTTTAATATAATTGCTTATTATATTCTTACATTATATTTTTTCTCCAAATTTTTCATTTTTTGTTTTTTAATAAATTAAAAGTTATAATAATCAATTAAAATAAAAAGATATGACATTAACAATTGAGAATGTGACAATAATATTACCTTTTTTTCATGATGAGTATATCTTATTTAATGTGTTTTTAATGGTATTAACAACCTAAATAGTTTAATGGTAATTTTTTCAATAAAAGTAAAATGTCTTGAGTTTGAATTATATGACATATTGGTGGGTAAGTTATAGGATAGAAGAGAATTATCTTTCATTATATAACTTCAAATAAAAAAAGGTTTTTTAATGCTTGATTAGCATTAAAATTTGTTGTACCTATGATTTTGATGATTACAAAACACATTTGAGTGACTAATTGATTTATTTAATTGTGTAGTTAAATTGCTAATATACTGCAAAGTAAGCAAAATGAGGTTGCAAAAAAGGGAGAATTTTTGAAACTCCAATTCACCCCCCATCTTGGAGTACATTGAGTCAACAATTAGTATCAGAGCAAGGGCTCCAATTTGAAGGTTTAACCACCTAGGAGTTGATCAAGGATGGCTCAATTTCAAGCTTCTCAACCACTTGAAGGTTTGTCTACCACTAGGCCTCCTTTCTTTGATGAGACTAATTACAATTATTGGAAGAAAAGGATGAAGGTCTTCATACTTGCAAATGTGCCCAAGGCATGGATTGTGACTATGAAAGGTCCATATGTACCTATGAAAGTTGTTGGAGAAAGAGAGGTGCCAAAGGAAGCAATTGAATGGAATGATGAAGACTTGAGGAAGATCATGATCAACAACAAAGCAATCAACATGCTTCAATGTGCTCTTAATCCAATGGAATTCCATAGAGTATCCGGATGTGATACGGCCAAGAAGATGCGGGACATGCTGGAGGTAACACATGAAGGAACAAGTCAAGTGAAGGAGTCAAAAATCAATAGACTCATTTACATGTATGAGCTTTTCAAGATGAAATCAGAGGAGAGCATTCAAGATATGTATACAAGATTGAATGATATAGTCACCAATCTCAAGGCTCTTGGTAAAGTTTATCCTTCTCAAGAAGTGGTGAGGAAGGTTCTTAGAAGCTTGCCTAAGAATTGGGAAGCGAAGAAGACCGCAATAAAGAGTCTAAGGATCTCAACACTCTCAAGCTTAAAGATCTCATTTGGAAAATTGATGACATATGAGATAGAAGTTCAAGTTGATGATAGAGTTGAAGTAGTTGAGAAGAAGAAGAAGGATGTTGCATTCAAGGCTAGCAACCAAAAGGAAAAGAGTGAAGATGATGCTAGTGATGGTGAAAACATCTCCACCTTGATCTCTAGAGAAGTGAAGAGATTCATGAAGAAGAACATCAAGAGCAAGCTTGCAAAAAGAGATGAAGGAGAGTCTACCAAAAGGAGTGTGAAATGCTATGAGTGCAACAAGATGGGGCACTATAAAAATGAATGTCCCAAATTGAAGAAGGGTGAAAGGAAAAACAAGAAGAGCATGAAGAAGAAAGCTTTTACCGCCAGTTGGAGCAATGATGAGACTAGCTCAACGGAAAGTGAAAGCTCCTTGGAAAATGGTGTTGCAAATCTTTGCTTCATGGCTCAAGAGGACAGCTACAATGATGAGGAGGTAAACTCTAACCTCTCTAGTTCAATTAATGAAAGTTCATTTGAATATTCTTATGATGATTTATGCAAAGTTCTTGATTGCTCTATGAATGATATTAAGAAACTAGGAAATGAGAATATTGCTCTCACTAAAACCATTTCATTGCTTAGGAATGAAATTGAATCTCTCTCAAAACAAAATGAGGTTTTAATTAAAGAGAATGCCTTTTTAAATGGTGAGATTGCTTCTTTAAAGAATGAGGAGTCTAATAATACTTTGAAAAAGGAAAATGAGGATTTAAAGAAAGGAAATGAAGATTTAAAGAAGGAAAATGAGGTTTTAAAGAGAAAAGCTTGTGATATTGAGAATGTGATTTCTAAATTTACCTTAAGTAAAGAAAAATTTGATTCAATTTAAAATCTCAAAGAAGTATTTATGACAAAGGGGGCATTGGATTTGATTATTCTAAAAAGCAAAAGACTTTTAAAAATTATTTTGTAAGAGCAAGTCAATCCTCTCATCCTAATGTTACTTGCTATTGTTGTGATGCAAATGGACACTTTGCCTATGTATGCCCTTTGAAGAGATTGATAGCTCAAGGTAAAGTGAAGTAAATTTGGGTTCCAAAAGGAACTTTAAGCACTAACCCCTATGGACCCAAGCAAATTTGGATACCAAAAATCAAAACTTAATTTTGTTTTGTAGGTAAAGTTGATGGCAAAGTCATAAGAAGAGTAAAGTTGATCTTGATAAAGACTTGTGCCTCAACAAGAATGTTGGAGTGAAAGTGCAAAGAGAATTTGTTTTTGAATGCTCCACTCATGTGCTCAAATTGGTATCATTTATTCTATTGCATTTATTCATTAAGTATAATCATATTAGCATGACTATTAATTATTGATTTATGTGTGCTCACTCTTTGATACATATACTTATTGAGTATGATTCCATTTGATGTGTCTTTCCTAGTGCTTGATATAATTCTTGAAATTAATGAATTTAATTATTAGAATTTGTGTATATTGATACTTTGATATATGTACCTTGATTATATTCATGCTATTTGATGATGCATACATTGATATATGACTAAAGTTGCATAATTTAGTAGTTGATGTTCAATTTAAACTTAGTTAAATGAAGAAATATCAAATTAGGTACACTCCCTTCAAAACAGCCCCAAACTTTCTGTTTGTTCCAATCAAGGCCAATAGAGCCGGCTCAACCATTTTCACAGCCGGCTGAACCCAAAAACCCGAGAGTCTTCTCTCTCTAAAGTTAAGCCGGCTCCAGGACTAGAGCTGGCTCTCCTGCAGCTATTTAAATCATTCGGGTTTCTCTCTCCTCGCACAAACCAGCCCAGATCTGTTTTATTTCCTCACCCAAACCCGCGGCCTCTCCTCTCCCAAAACTCGCCATTCACTCTCCCAAACACCAAAATCCCTCCAAATCTCCAAAGCCCATCCCTTAAATACTCAAATACCATCAAATCCTTGCCTATCCAACACAAAACCTCAAGCTTTTCACTCCAATTTGTGTGGGATTGCTGTGTTTTCTCTCTCATGGCTTCAAGGAGGGCTGGAAGTAAAAGGAAACAAGTGGGTAGTTCTAGCACCGGTGGTCAAGCTCAAGAAGAAGGTAACATCTCCCAATCAAATCTCTTTTTGGATACCCAAGCTTTTGCAAAGTATGAAATTATCAAGAATATGGCTGTTTTATCTTGCAATTGTGTAAAATTCAGTCAATTTTCTCAAGGAAATATGCGTGTTGAACAAATATTTACAGAAATTGGGTGGAAGGATTATGTAGAAATTAAAGAGCATGTGTACTATGAAGTTGTTCATCAATTTTATGCTAATTTGAAGTCAAAAGGGAATAAATGCAAAACCATAGTTGCTGGGGTGTCATTTCAGTTTTCACCAAGGGATATTTGTGTTGTATTAGATATACCTGAAGGAGGAGATGATGACTTTCAGGATATAAATCATGCCTTAGTTAGAGCCAAAATTGCCCCCAATTGCACTGAAAATCAAATTAAAGTAGGGTCCCTTACACCAGAAAATAGAGCACTACAGTGGATTGTATCTCGCATTATTGCTCAGAGAAAGGGGTCAAAATCTTTTGTACTTGCTAGTGATCTTCCCTGGTTCGACTATCTTCTTAAAGGAAAAAAGGTGAATCTTGGAAGATTCATTTTACAGAGCTTAATCAAGAATTACTCCTCTGATATGGGTTTTTCACATCGTGCATTGATTACTAGGCTAGTAAAAAGACATAATATTGATCTTGAACCTTTTAAGTATGGGAAAATTAAAGATGGGACCACTATCACTAAAGCATCCTTTGAAAAAATGCAAGTTGTGTTTCGGAATGGTAGTTGGAGGAAGAAAGGGGATCAAGCAATGGAACAGCAAAGTGATGAAGAAGAGGGTGATACGGATCAAGAAATGGCAGAACAAAGGGAAGAAGAACATGGAGGTGATAGCCCAAGACCCTTTCAAGTGTCCATGCACAGGACTAACCGTGAAACCATGGAGCTTATGATAAATGAGATGTGGCAGCTGCACATCGACTTCTATGGTTTCTGGACAGAAATGAGAGGGAGAATGGATATCGTGGATGGAAAGCTTGATCAGCTTGTTAACCATTTTTTTCTTCCACCCCCACCTAGTGCCACCTAACTTGATATTTTTTTAGTTTGGCTAATCTTTAGGGTGGACATCTCACGGTTATGCATTTTATGTTTTTAGGCTTGTGATTATGTTTTTATTTTACTATAGATATTTCTTGAACCTTTTTATCTTGTTTTATGAATGGAAATGGCATCACTTGTGTTATCATGCTTTGTGAATGGTTGTTTATGATTTTGATGATTATATGCTCTTATTGAGGGGGAGTTTATTGGTTGATAATTGTATTCATGACTTTGGTTGTCTATGGTGCTATATTGATGATGATTAATGATTATATTCATTACATATTCTTGATGCTTTAAAGGTTGATAGCATAAATTAAGGGGGAGTTTATTGCTTATGTTTATATACTTTTTGATGAATGAGAAAAAAAGGGAGAAAGTATGCTAAATTTTCATAATTTTCTGGAATGTCTTAATGTCTTAATGTCTTAATGTCATTTTCTTGGTGCTGAAATTTTGAAGTTTTTTTGAAGTTAATATTGAAGTATATATGCTTTATGCTTTCATGATCAAAGTGTTTTGTCATCATAAAAAATGAAGAGATTGTTGTACCTATGATTTTGATGATTACAAAACACATTTGAGTGACTAATTGATTTATTTAAGTGTGTAGTTAAATTACCAATATACTGCAAAGTAAGCAAAATGAGATTGCAAAAAGGGGAGAATTTTGGAACTCCAATTCACCCCCCCTCTTGGAGTACATTGAGTCAACAAAATTAACATGAAAAGCATAACTAAAACCAAGAAGGCATTTTATGTAATAACTTCTAATAAGACATTAGTTGGTACCATCTAATTTAATACATTACACAATATATTTATGAAAAAATTATTATCTTCTAGTGTGAAATTAAATGCAAACAAACTTAAAGATGCAATTTAAAGATGCAACTACGCATATAACATGTAGGAATCGACTGAATTGATTGTACTTATATTATTTTTTAATGGCTAAACTAAATAGGTGTCAAAAAAGTGTGTTAAATCAAAAGGTATAACAATCATTTTTATTTTAGATAATATATACCACAAATTGAACCAAAGCCAAAGATAGACCAAATATGATTTGTGTAGTATTAATAATAAGTGGACTTGAAAGTTTTTACCTAAATTAAGAAATTTCACGGATATGATGTATCTTTATTTATTTAAATTTACATAGAAATATAATTAATCAATAGGTAAAGAGAGATTTGGAATAAGTTAAGTATATATATCGAATATGATAGAAAATCTTGCTGTGACACATAAGTAGTAAAAATCTTAAAAACATATTAATTTGAAATCTATACTGATTGATTATAGTGAAGTTGAATATCGTAGTATCTCATATATTGATAAATTTTATTTTAAATGGTTAATTTTTTAATTAGTTTTTAATTATAAATTCTTCCCAATTATTTGTTCAAATAATTTTATAATTAACTATTTTTGGTATTTAATTATGATATCTATGAGAGTGATTTTCTATTCATTACTTTATTATTTGAGTGGTGCACTTGCTAGTGAACTTCGGCATGTCAAGAGGCCAATAGCCTACTTAAACCAAACACAAGGAAAACTAACATATTAACCAAACTTGAACTATCTATGAGCCTTGTATTGTCACAAATTTATGGTATCAATAATTACTATAAATTCTTTCTATGT